TGGCCAATTAGCCCAGTCCGATCCGATCGCTTGTCCCGCGCCATTTTCGTTCGATTAACTGTGATCATCTGAATTGTTTCACCACGTTCAGTCGATGGCTGTGATTTTTCAACTTCTCTCAATTTTGTTTTGTTTTGTTCCTGTCATTTCCGAATTAATATTTTGATGAATGCAGTACACGTATTTGTTCCTCATAATTTGGTAAACAGTCGCAGCTGGGGGTGCATACAATGGTCCAGTTCCGCCAAAGTTCGCCTGCACTGTAGGCTAATTTGAATACGTTCATCACACCACTGAATCATTGACTGTGTTGGTAGAAACACACTAAATTTATTACTCGCAAGCTGTTATTGTTGCAATTGTCTACGTTCCGTTTTCATCGGTCTGCACCGCTTACGCGGAGCTAGCACACAATGCTACTGGATATGACAATGTCAGTGGAATTTGTAAGACATTGAAAGACTGGCTAAATGACGTAAATGCATTGGGGTTCATTCGGTTTTGCCAAGTGACGGTTTCTCCTTCTGACAATCTGACACAGCGGAGCAACTGCTCTGAGTAACCGGTATTTTATTATACTTGGAGGTCGATTTCGATATATTGGAAACTGGTGCCAAAGCTCATGACAAACAGCTGATGAAGTAGATCAATTGAACGGACTTAAAATCTATCGGCATATTGATAAGCAGGCTGAATAACAAATAACCTGTGGTGGTGCCGGACAGAAGCACTTAACACTAGCTTAAATTCTGAAGTCCATGAGTGAAGCTTTCCATTGGATTCAAATGAAAAAATCCTTTGTGGTAGATCAAAATCGCCGTGTGCTCATTTGGGCATTTGGAAGGTAAGTCAGGTTTACCGCACAAGGCAGCTGTTAGTTCACTTTTCACGGGGGAGGAAGCCACTGTCCAACGCTCGTCTAGTACCTTTTTCAAAACATTCACAGTATTGCAACTTACCACTGCGGTAACCGGTTCGAAAACGGAATCACCCCGCAAGTGAAAATCGTTGCCCTCGTAGGCACGATCGGAACCCCGAGTTAGTGCTATTATGCTGCAAGCGGTGTTCGTATGAAGATAGAAAAAGACGTTTAACGAAACAACGGTTGTATTGTGAGTAAACACGCAAAGTCAAAAAAGAAGATGAAGCTGTTTGACGTGACGGCCAAGACTTCTTGTGAATCTCAAAATGCGCGCGCCACTTCATAGCGTTTTGCTGCCCGAGATAGACAAAAACACGCATTTGTCGCACGTTTATTGACGTATCGTGGTACTAGAAAGTACCGAATAAGTGTCTATGTGACGGCTGAACAATGCAAAACGAAAGCGCGCAACACGTATTGCATGGGTTGGAACAGGACCCAACGTATATATATATACATTCGAGCGAAAAACTGTGCTCATTAAAACAAGCGGTAAAGTAAAACCGAAATTATTATCAAAGTGGGAGTCTAAGTTGATTGCGGAGAAAACTTCCTTGCGGTTTGTTGCTTTTATTCGCACAATCATCGTTTCTACAAAGACCCGGAGGAGCGCGGAAAGTATAAACAAACACGCACTGACCAAAGAAGTGGCGATTTTTCGGTATAACTAAGCTAAATGCAAGGAATCTTATGTGCAGAGTGAAAAGTAATTGGTGTCACTGTAGATCTCTCCCCGTAAGGGCTAGAGAGAGGCTTGGGTGAGGGTGTCTGCATGTGTGTATTGTTCGCTGTGGCTTAACAGTCCGATATTTGAAGCACGTAGGAGTTAGCCACTGAAATGATGTGAATCAACATCCAAATTATTTTCAGTTGATGTGGCAGGGGATGCTTGTCAACAAGAAATATGTGGGGAAATGGAGGTGCCATGAAAATTCCTTTCTGTCATCGTTTCGCTACTCGCCCCTTTTATAGTAGAATGGTTTTGTACACCGTGTAAGAATGCGGCAAAGCTGGCTCTCAATACTAAGGCAGGGTGTGAGGAGCAAACTACTCGATGGACTACGATCACTAGAGCACAAGACGAAGTATAGTTGGGAATAATATCCCGAAAAGCTATGTCAAGGTCTTGCCTGCGCAGGGGAGGAGCAATGGCTCACAGCTAGAATGTAAGCTACGGTAACTCGTACATGCCGTATGACGGAAAGTGAGGAAGCTGTCTAGTAATTCAGCAGCTGGAAATCTCTGTGAATCGGCAAGTGCACAGAGCCACGAGCCGAATAAATGGGTGCAACACCCCACAATCCTTGACCTGCAGAACAGGGAGTTAGATGCCCTGACTGGCAGGGAGATGAGGGACTGCCACAGAACAATGCTGATTCTCAACAAAGAGAAGCGTGTAACCATGGAGGCCAAAGTCAAAAGATAACTGGATAGAAGGAGGGCGATGGATATCTTGTGGCTAACAGGAATACATCCTAAAATGCCCTGAAGAGAGTGCATGGAAAAACCCTAGGCCGGGTAGGCAGAACCCAGCATGGCCGATACTCGTATAATTCAACAATCCGGGTATGCGGGACTTGCTCCTCAAAAGAGCCAGTTGGATATTCTATGGGACGCAGGGACGATTTGGGAAAGCCCCTGGCCAACCAAGACAGCACCTAGGGCCGCAGAATTGCAAAGCCCCAACACCAAGTACCTGCTAAAGAAGAGGTAAAATGAGACCAGCTTTTCCCTTCCTTTTCAGCAAAGACGTCATAGTGGAGGCAATTCGAAGGGTTTGGTACACACTTTGTGAGTGTACTGCAGGAAGAAATCTGGACGCTCGATTGACCGAGGCCATTATCAGTATTGTGCAACATGACCTGAACAAACATTGGTCGATTCTTCAGTGCCCAACCCACAACGATGGGACTCATTTGGTTGCCTGCATTCAGTCAATCCGATTGCTGCCACTTATGACCACAGTATTGGTCGGTAAACCTGTTGGCTTAGTGGCTGCGTGGAAGGTGTACCTTGGTGTATGCGTACTCGTTGCACGATCACTGCAAATTTCTCCCTTAAGAGTGCCTCATCAATTTGTTTTGTTTTTTGCCACGATCTCCTTAGCGTTGCACTGGTTGAGGCTTCTGATTCTGCCGGTCATGGCCTATCTCTTTGTCCAACATCACGATACTGGGGAATCGAAGCATCAAGTTCAGATGGTTTGGAAGTGCTAGGATCATTCATTTCTACATGAGGTTCTGATGCACGATATTTGGTTCGTCTCTGAAACGTATCTGCTCAACATGCCGGCAATGGATGGACACATCTGTTAAATTTGTAATCTCCATCGTTGACTGAACAACGTTTCTGGTGGTGTTGCCACGAACAGGGCGCAGATCTTTGCCTCTGAAGTATAGCACGTTAGTAGAATCCATTCATCTCCGGGAAGACTTCAAACACCGTGATTAAAATATCTTTGCCGGTCTTTCCTTGGTATTCGCATGTGTCGCGTTTCGGTGTTGCAGTAGGAAGTTGTCCAGAAACGCCTCCAAGTCCGTAATTAATTTCGGATTCGCGGACGCCAGTGCACTCTTGACTGTTTTCACAGGATTCTCAGTTTGACCATTAGAACCGGGATGTATTGGGGCTGTACGGAAATGTCGACATCGAATGCTATCGAGCCAAGCTTTCATCTCCGTGGCACTGAATTGAGATCCGTTGTCTGTGACAAACACTTGCGGTATACCTTTCCGACTGAAGCCTTTCCGGAGAGTCTGGATCGTGAAAAGATGTTTTGGAACACTTGTCAGAAACACTTCGGGCCGCTTTTAGTATCAACCAACAAGAACCAAGACATAGTATCGATTCAAAATCCGTATGTATCTGTTGCCGTGGTGCATAACCCTCTGATTTCGGTTTCAACTTCACTTTGAACACACAAGCCTGGCAATTCTTCGCAGGTGTGCAAATGTCTGCATCCAAATCTGACCACCAACGCATTTGTCAATCCAGAGATTTCATCATCTTAACTCCTCAGTGGCCTTTGAGGAAGTCCTTTGAGAATGCATTCCGGAGCTACAGGATTATGATGACTCATCATCATCATCGTACTGCGAAATACAGTGAAGGGCACTTCATTGAACGCTGCCAAACTCGCAATGTATACAAGGTTAGTGGTAAAATTTAAGGTGGACAGGGATTAGATCTATTTGGAGGGAGGGAGAAGATGATGAGCCACTNTCAACACACAGTACGCAATCGAACTCTGCATACATACCGTTTCAAGCATTCTGACCTGATAAGAAACGACAACAAGAATGCCACTGCTGCCGGTCCGCTGCCATACCCTTCAATGTCTCCAACCAACCAGTTGTGGAGTCTTTCGGACCCAAACCTGGAAGGCGAGAGATACCTACTCTATCTAATGGCTCCGTGCATTTCTTCATGCCTCATCTCCATGTCATCTGTTGACCTCCACGTGGTTTCCTCCAGTCCGGATTAGCTACTGCGAAGAAAACGCGGTGCGGCAGACGATGGCTAGGCATACGCAATATGTGCCCTAGCCAGCGAAGCCTAGTAATCTGAATTCGGTGTGCTAGCAGGTTCATGCCTGACAGACTCCCAAACGCACGACGGCTTACCTCCACGTTACTAACCCGTTCGCTCTATGCAACATGGGCTAAGCTGCGTAAACATCGAAAATCGAAAACTTCTAGTCGACGAATATCTTCTACTCGCAAATTCAGGGTCTCACAGACATAAAGCAGGACTGAACGAACGCTAGCACAATATACACGACCTTTCAACTTCAGTGAAACGTCGCGTCTACGCCAAAGGTGTTTCAGTCCTGTGTATGCTGCTCGAGCCTTGAAAATGCGGGCGGTTATCTCCTTTGCTGCACTATCGTCATTAGTCACGCAACTACCTAAGTATGAAAAGTAATCCACCACATTTAAATCCTGGCCATTTAGTGTCAGAGTGGGAGTAGACGAAACCCAGTCCTGCAGCATCACTTTGCACTTTGAAGATGCAAAGCACATACTGAATGTGGCTACTGCACTTGTTAGTCTATCAAGTGCGCTTTGTGCGTCCTCCATACATTCGAACAGACAGATGATGTCATCGGCGGAATCTAAGTTGCGATAGAGAACACCACCCGGTTGCACAGCCAACTTCTTCGGATGGATATACAAATGAACATGTCATTACTTCGCATCTAGAACTCGCCTTTTTCGAAAGGGCTGGAATAATCACAGAGTGGTGTTGTTTTGCATATCTTCTCAACGCTTCCCTCGAGACCAATGCTGTTTGGGCGACAAAATTACATTTCTTCGCGGCTGCGAAGCGTGAGTATCTGGATAGGAAATCTGTCTATAGTATTGTCTTGCCTGGCGAATGTATAACATCACAATCGTCAGCTGCTAGTGCAATACTCCATCGTTGATTCATGGCGGTTTTTGCTTTGCGTTAGACTTGTTGGGGTTAAATAAAAATTGTATCGCCTGTTGGTCCGTCACAATCGTACGATGCACTGCAAAAAATACTTTTTCTAGTTTTCGGACAACCCAGAACACCGTTAAAGCATCTTTCTGGGTTTGCGAGTAACTCTCCTCCGCAGGGTACATCAATCGGAAAACATAAACTTTCCAATGTTCCAATGTAGCAACAATACCCACCTCGGACGCATCCATCACCAGTTTAGTTGATTTTGATGGAGAAAAAATTGCCACGAGTGGACGTTCAGCGATGTTCCGTATCCATTCGTAAAGGGTTCTTTCACAGTTCCGGTCCATTTCCATTCCGCAGCGGATTGCACAACAAACAAGTGTTGAGTCCTAGTAGCAAAATTAGGAATGAATCATGAATAATATTGAAGGGATCCAATAATTGATCGTAGATGATTTTGATCTTTCGGAGATTCGATATTCATTAGAGGTTTGTATCGATTGGTGTCCGGTCGATATCCAAACATGCACTTCGACGGCTTGATTCACACGTTTTTCTCCATGAATCGCTCAAGAATTTTTATCATGGACTTCTTTCGTTGCTCCAAATAAAATCATCGTCTTGATAGGTCATAACACCACGTAACCCAGAGACAACATTGTCTATTGTAGACTGAAAGATTCCGAATGATACTTGTAAACTGAACGGGAGAAAATTTTACTGGAACAGTCCCCAAAATGTATTGATTGTCGATAATATCCGGGAATCTGGATGTAAGCATTCGCTAGATCAGTTTGGAATAAAACTCACAACCGTATAAGTATTTTATGTACTCTTCTTTCCTTACTGTCTCTGCTACATATTTTCGCAATTGAGGGCCAGAGTGTTAATAGGTAATCACCGCATATCCTCAGAGTTCTGCCATCACGTTTCATCGCGACAATAATCAGAGTGGATCATGTTGTCGACGTCAGTCAGGAAATAAAACTATTCGTCTTCATTCGTTCGATCGCTTCCAGCATAACTTTACGTTTTTGCTAAAGTTCCTACGAAGTCGTGCCAGCAATTGAACAATCACGCAACTTGGTTTGCAGTTTATCGCTAAAATTCCAGGAGTAGTTTGAGTTTACGTTTGGGTGCACTGGCACAGCAGGTGAGCGAATGGAATTCGGATCGTTCAGTTGCGCCGAAACAAAAAGATCCTCAGGTGTTTTCAGATACAGATAGAGCAGTTTCCGGAACTGATCCATTCGTTAATAGAGAACATGAATCCGTACCACTGATAGGTGAGAAGCTACCAGTTTTGTGTCCCCCATCAAAATCGTGTGTCGCACGAAATATTCAAGCGCTCGTCGTGGTCTTCAAATTCTATTGCGTTGATGATCATGTTGCAGCCCGCCAGATTACAGGATCTCATTTTTTTCGGGATGACCGTGGTAACAGATACCGTGACACGCAATCATACAAGTAATTCGTATAAATCGAATGACATGTAACAGTTCGGTCTAAAATAATGGATCGAAAATAAATCCGTGAACACTACAAGGTGACGAAGTAGTACTTTAATCGGCGGGAAAATGCGATTATTGAACATGCTGGAAAAAAGGTAGGATTGATATTGGTCATCAATTTTGCATGGTCTGGCTTGGCTGCCAACGTACATCCATTAGGTGGTAATGTCATCGGAGAGATGCCATACAAGGATATTTACATAATCACTCTGGTTCATGCGGACAATATTTGGCAGACGAGTCCTTATCAAATTCATTTAGAGATGAGTGAACCGGGAAGGAGTTTAATGTTTACGAACAGTCAGAAAAGAGCGATGATAGGATCGGAAAAATTACATAATGGAAAATGATTAATCGTGAAGGAGAGATGAAAGTGGTTATGTAATACTACACAAGAAAACAGTTCTTTATCCTAATTCGGGTAAAGCCATAAACTAATTAAAATAGAAATAGATCAGTAACGCGATGGAAAGTTCATAATTCGAGCGGGCCAAAAGAACTATCTAATATCAAAACAAGAATGATGAACTGTCCACGATTTTGCAAGCAGAAGTTCGTAGTCTATGTACATACAATCACCGCTAACTTTCACTTTGTTTTCTATCGAGGTTACAGAGTTCTGAGAAATCCAACCTTTCTGACGAATTTCCGGTTGTTTTCCACAATAGATGATTGCTGTCGAACGCATCGCACATTTAATCCAATTCTGATATAATTGCGCTTCGACAATTTACGGTTCTCCTAGTTTGTGTCCTACATTTTACTCGAACCTTTCAGGCACATGGTTTGACAAAAGCTATTTTGCGTGGGTTGTTGAATCACAGGTGCAATAGCCACCACAGCGTGCTAAGATACAGTCACTTCATAATCATGTGTCTGTTAGTGGGTTCGTGTACGGCTACTGCTAATATCAAAATATAATGATTGTGTGTTTCAGTCTAGAGAAGGCCACGTGGAGGTCAGGTGACGTGGAGATGAGGCATGAAGAAATGCACTCAGCGATTGGGTAGAGTTGGTGGATGTCTCTCGTCTTCCGGTTTGGGGTCTAAAAGACTGTAACTGCATGGTTGGAGGTACTGATGGTCATGGCTGCAAACCGACAGCAGTGGCGATCTTGCTGTCACTTCTTTTCAAACCAGAATGCTTCAAATAGTAGGTATGCGCAGTTGAACTGTGTTCTCTGTGTGTTAACCATAGGGGTTTGCATTCTTTTCCCGGTCCTAGAAATAGGCTTAATCCCTAACATCCAAACACGTTCTCACTTACCTTGTATGCAGTGAGTTTGGTAGCGATCAGTGAAGTTCGCTTCACTGTATTACTCTGTACAATGGTGACGCTGCTAAAACAGCATATAATCCCATTTATGAGAGTGACAAAGCGCATAAGCTCCTTCGAAAAACCAAATGAGACACTGCTATCGGTTCTGACGACCTATCGTAAGCCCTTCAACAATGATACTCTAATTCATACGGGTAGCTTCCATGCATTATTCCACCCCTCATTACTTGATACCGGTCAAAATTATTCCCATTCTTAAGCCCTGCAAATTCAATATATTGACAAAAGGTTTTATTCCCATTGCTTTAATGTCATGTGATCTTAAATTGGCTGATCACGCTACTTTCAAAATTTGGACTGCTTGTTCCAATGACCTTAGAGACCATCTTCAGTTTGTTAAAGGAAAAAGGAAAAACAGATCCACTTTGAATGATGTCTCCTCCCACTTAAGTAAATTCAAATATACGTTCTTAGATTTTATATTCGTCTAGCTCAGTTCAATAATATTTTGTTCCTTCGTAAAATGGAATCACTTAACAGTGTCAAGCAGTTACCGACTGCTCTACAAAGTCACTGTCACCTCCGGTGAGGTACCTTAACTTTAAACGGTGCGTGAGTTTAGTTCGCTTGCTAAGCATTTGTATTCCAGATATTCTCGAGCATCATTAGGCTAAACTTCCGGTGCTTTTAACGGAACAATTTTTTCTCCTTGTCTAACTGGTTTTGGTTCCTGATACCTACCAGGTTACTGAAAATCACGGGATATTAGAGACTGGATCGCTTCCACAGGTCGTGGGATAACAGCTCCATCTCGAAAACTTTAAATAGATTAAATTGTTAAATAAATAGGAGTCACTATCAACATAAATTGACCTTGTACAGTGCAAAAATACTTCGAGTAAATATTTACAAATTGAAAGACTCAGGTAGTTAAATACCGAACAAACACTAGTTTAACTTTTTGTTTAACCATAAGCTTCCCTTTTGCCGGTCTGTTTATGGAATTTTCGGAGTTCTTCACTGCAGACACTGTATTATTAGCAGCACCTTTAATACCTCTTATACCAGATAGAAAACGGTGTAAACTACACCTGTCCGCAAGTGAAACATTTGCACCGAAACTCCTTCCTGGTCCCAGTCACTCTTGAAATGGCGATTTGATGCACATCACCTGTGACGCCCCACCCTGTACCTTTGGTAACTATTGTTTCTAAGTGGAAGCAGTTTTGCAAATGCTCAAACTTTGTACACCTGTTTTTGCATTTATAGTAAGCAATGAGAAATTCATTGGGGAGGTGAATTTCTGGTCATTTTGTTTAAATTTCTGACCTTAAAAACGATTAAAATCTTAATAAATGTTACTCTCAACGGGTCGCAAATAATTATGCGTCTACACTTTCTTCTGTACCGCAACGGTGGTTATCACCGGGAAGAATTACCCATTGCCGCTAGTTATGTGCACGTGTTAATCACTCTGACGTTTTTGTTGATCGAGCGACCCGAATGCACACCAATAATGCCAAAGCATTCTGAAGTTGAATGAAACGAGGACTGAAAGATGTCACTGCATTTGTCATTGACATGATATGCAACGGTCCGGTAAGTTGACTTCTTCAATCAGACATTGATAAGATTTTGCAACGTGAGGCAGTTGTATCCTTAATGATCATTTATTGAATACATCTCTATTTTATTATAAGAGGTGTAAATTCTCCAGAAGAGAATTTAAATGTTTCCGCATTTGCAATTTGACCACTATAAAGATTTAAGCAATCTGATTATGAACGACAATATCCATTTATGACGATACACTGAATGTTTCATGCCAAATGACAGGTTACCAAGGTTAAACGATTATTTACTCCGTAACGTTTTACTACTGTTCTGTTTTTCTGTGTTTATAACCATACGCTTATGTTTTGGTTTGACTGTATCATAATTTTAAACGTCATTCTGTACCGCCACGTTTGAAATTTTCTGTACGCTGGCGTCAAGTGTAACGACCTTGGCAACTTGCTGTTCCGTTTAAGTGTGAATCGTGTTCATGTCTCACTGAACCTTTTGGTCCATGGTGTCTGCATTTAGTTCTCTCTCAGATTGTCAGTTCACCCTCTCCACGGAGAACCTTCTGTCCGTCGACAGTTCCAGCCCACACCTAGACTCGCCCCGCCTGCGTTTGTCTGGCGTATGCATTCACGGGGTCATCCTGCCGCATTCACGAGCCCAGCATCTCACAGAAGTAACCTAACCATAAGTCTGCTTGCAATTATTGTTTTTGATTGATTACCTTTTACTGTAGAAACACGGTTTACGTAGAAATAACTTGCCTCAGCCCTCATTGTATTTTCTGCATCTGCCCAAGCCGGGGGTGGACTAGACTTGACAACTTCCGGTTACTATCGGTGCAGCTCATTAGTTTCTACAGTAAGCGTTTTTCATACTAAAGCGAAATTAGTTTTCAATTTTAAATTCCTGAGGAAAATTCATACCACTTATGAGTAGTACGTTTAAATTTCGATCACAGCGCTTCGTGCGGGTCTCCACTAGTAACATGCGCCGGAGATGTATCCAAATATCGCTCTCGCACATTAACACGTTCTGCACTTCATTTCTTACGTTATCACATTAGCATCTATAGAAATTTTGCTACTCCTTTTCTCAACAGGATCCTTACAAATCGGCAGTGGATTAGTGGTGCGTTTCTCAGCAACTCGTGAAAGTAAAGTAAAGATTACTTCCTACCTTTCGATGATATCACGCGCGATCTTTGCCTGAACCGCAGATTGCTGTCCACACAAAATGAGAAAGAAAGGGACACCCCACCCTAGTCAAACTGCCTAGTAAAGTTCATCAGATGTGTTTGTACCCGTAGAAATTTCTTTATTGGATCAAAGCTTTGGGAGCCCAAACCTGCAGGTTATCACGACCTGAAAGGGGCAGCAACTGCCGGAAGTTTCTCAGTTAACGGGCTGACAGTTGACCAATCGGAATGGTGAGTGGCGTTAACGGTATCAACAGCTGAACAACCAGTATCTTCTGTTGCAGATTAGGTAATTCTGGGTGAACGAACTTACATACGCGTTTCGCTACTCCTTTTTCTTTTTGTGTTTCAAAAAAATTACACAGTACCTCAATTACCGAAAAGCTATTTGCACATGTGCTCCAGCATCTAACATTATTGCTGAGCAATTAAAGCATGCCCTGATATGGGAAGGATCTTAAGTGGGCAGTGTCTAGGTAATCTTAACAAAGGGGCGAGTCTGAGTTTGGGTTAGGCTGACAGGGTCGCTGGAATCGCTAGCGAATGAAGTTCATTTGAAACAACTTAGGGTTTCAGTGACTTTTCAGGAAAGAAATAGAGCAACATGTGAAACTAAATACGACGTGTCACATCGCAATTTTTACCTTATGTCACAGTAATAGATCCCTATAAAATCATGCTAAAAAAGACAAGCGACAGCCTGATGAGACGAAAACCATTCGAGTGCGATAGACAAAAGACTAACGAGGAAATGTGGGTCAAATTACAATGTTTATTGGCGTTCAACTGACAGGACCGACGTAGTGCAACTTAAAGTTTAACAAAGAGTACCACGGAACGATCACGTCGTCGATTCTTCATAATCTGGATTTTTCTTCAGCAGTACAAAGCCTTCTAAGGGCAGTTGGGTAACAGCCATATATTCATCTGTTGCAAGCTCAGCACGTTCACCATGGGACAAGAGAACCGGAGTGGTGTGTGTTTGGAAACCAGTAATCGTCTTTGGTCTTCCAGCCTGACCGACCACGTCCACAGCTTGACCGACTCGAACGGTCACCGGCAATGGCTTCAGATCCTCATCAAACGTCATTAACAATCTAGGTTGGATCGCCGGGGTCAGATAGAAAATGAGATAATCATGTCGACCCATGAACGTGGTGCGCATATCCAAACAGGAGACGAGCAGTGTGAGCAAACCAGCAATACCCACTGGACGGGATAGGAAGCGTTCCGAATGCCACGGGCTCAATGTCAGTGTTCCTTTACCCAGATGTGTAAGCCCTTGGGCTAGACGCACCACGAACAGATTGTACGGGTCTCGACTATGATAAACAGCCAACTGACGCAACATGGCAGCCAAACGTGCATTGTTGGTGCCTAAAAGCGGAAGAAGTTGCATCGACAAACGAATGACGTGACAAACAATGATAAACAGTGGGAGAAGAATACCATATAGTATAGAGCACTGACACTATCCCGTCAGAAAACTGATTTAACACGTTTGATAAGGAATTTGCATGAGATGTGCTTGGCACATGTGGTACATTCGAACCACGAGTTTGTGATTGGGAGCGATTACCGGTTTCACGCAAATGATTGTGGCTGTTCTATCTAGAAATAGCAAGTCAGAATGAGAGTATGCAGAATTCAAAATGCGCACCAGTAGGCTTCACTACGGTAAACCAAGAAGTCAAGTACAAAAAATCATGGTTAGTTGTGGCGAAGCACGAAATATCACGAACGGATTAGTGGAGGTTAGAACCCCAGAATTAGTAACAAACTTTAAAGGTAGGTAGCTAAGCTGTCGCAAGGCACTATATCAGACCATTTTCATTGGAATTTGTGGTTCAACACCAGCCCCAGTGCCCATGTTGCAGGTTGTATTGATCGAAGACTGGATCTCAATAACTATAACTTTCAACAGCTCTAATGTTGAACAGAAAAAAAATAAAACAGGAGCGGCAGAACGTACAGGCCGTGTAACTGGGTTTTAGCACTCCGTAGCAGCTTCGAGAGTTAAACAAGCACTGAGAGGTTAATAACAGATAAAATATCGGCGAATGAATTATGAATGAACGCACCTGCACCAACAAGGCCCAAAGCCAAAATTGAATTGTAGGACAACTCTGGGTCAGAATCGTGACTAAACTTGCTGAGTGTATCCAGCACTTTTAGTTGAGGATTGGAAACATAACACAAAGCCAATGCCAACGGGACAGCTCGTTTGATGGGAGGTTCTCCGAAGCGCAACTGAAAATGATAACAGCGGTAAACAAAGATTAGCAAGCAAAAGAGAATGATCAACGCCACCATCTGACATGGTAAACAGGGCAAATAGAAGAGTACCAGCAGTATGGTCAATTGTTTTCCATACCTTCAATATCAGTCCACAAAAGGTAGTATAAGCGCTTAATGCTTATTGGCGCAACCCTGGCACTTGTTAATCTTGACAAATCAACCGTTGGGTTGATGGACACATGGTGAATAAGTCTCGAGCAGCCATTCAAACAGCTTCTTCCTTTTCCAACTGAACCTTTTAACAATTACCTTTATTCAGAATTTGCACAGATAAAATAAGTCACGTTGGTCTACTTTGCGGGTGTAGATGTGATCGAAATACTGATTACTACTACGGCAAAGAGTATTTGGTCACCCATTATCTCAAAAATCGGAGCTCATTAAACCATTCTAGAAAGACGTAATCCGACATTCTTCAAGCAATGGGTGTGTCAAACATTTTTAAGGATGCAACATACCAAGTGGCCAAACATGCGGAACGCCATATCCAAACCGACTTCTTCACCCATGGCAATGACAGCCACTCCGAGGGCGGCTAAGCCCTGATGCGCGTGAAAATCGAACCCGCTTTCTTCGTTCACCTCCACTGCATCCGTGTTTCCGGTATCCATTGGAGTTGGCTGAGTAATTGATCCGGCATCTTTTTCCTCATCTGCATCCACCTCGGCAGGTTCTTCCGTTTGTGTGTCTGTGGCACCGTCAGCACCTTCGTTGTTGGTATTCTTGGGGGCACCCGTGCGGCGTTGACGAGCACGGCCTGCACCAGTACGACGAGTTTCTTTTGATTTCTCTTTCGATTTCCCACCAGCAGCGTTGCTCTTATCACCTTTGTCCTTCTCCTTTTCCTCGTACTTTTCTGACAAAATGTGCAACAGCTTCTGCACCTTCAAAACATTTCCACTTCCTATGCAAGGTAAGCAAAGCCCATCAGAGCATGAAAACGAAACAGGAATGAACAACTTGGCACTTCTACTAAATGAGATAACACCCTTGTGCATCTTGTAGGTGTAGACAATGGACAAAGGAGTTGAACAATGAGGTACCTATTGATCTTCAGAGGGCGAAATATATGACTGAGAAGAGTTTGCTGCGCATGAAATTTGATTTAAACAATCAACAGGAAGTTATTGGTATGTATTAGGTTTGACTCATTCACATTTTGTACAAGTTATAACCGTGCACGAAAAAGCAAAAGCGGAGTCCACTCAATATAATGTAACTGAGTATAACGATGCTGCAGTGGACCACAACAGCAGGACTGAACAAGACTATTTCAATGGATAATGCTATCACAGACTACCCTAGTGACGAGAACGAACCGTCGCAGTGTTTTATTTTGCAATCAACCTTTAAAATAAAACAATTGAAATTAGAAGTGAGATGGGATAAAAGTGAGGACAAAAAATGAACCACTGTACAGTAACCACTTTGTTGCCATAGAGGAATAAGTAACAGTCAGTTGTTAAAAAGCACTGTGTCAAAGAACCAGAAAAAATTTCGTTCGAAAATTTTAATGCACCTAACGTATGATTACCAGTCAACTTGAGAGAGATTGAACAGGGTAGCATTTGCACGATTAAAAAAAACGACATTTTAAGAGGTTGGTTTAGGCAAGATAAGCCAACGAACACTAGGCTGTTTTCTTTTGGTAAAACCGAATGACGTACCAGCATATGCGCAAAAATCGCACATCATATGTGCCATCGATTTCATTGGTTCCGAGATCGCTTCCAATGAAGCCAGGATGACTTCAACCTCCTCCTGTCGTCCCAAGCACGTCAGGCCAAGACCAAGCGCCATTAATTTGCTGAACACATTATTCCAATGACTTGCTGGCCGTTCCAGCATAGTCAGGAGAATGGTGGAGGTCACATCGTCGTTCAAGGATCCCACAGCAATCATCCCCGCAGATAATGCAGCTAGACATGCATGCTGTAGACGACTGGTATTCACATCCAGAATGACAGGAGTCAATTTCTCAAGTGCCTCCGCTTTCATCGAACCGGCATAGGCTACACCCAAGCCGATGATTGCAGCCCTGGACAATACGTCCCTGTTGGAATCGACGTATGATCCTAATAGTGCTAGAGCCGGGTCGCATTCATTCTTCACACCACAATTAACAACTCCGCATCCGAGGAGACCACCGGCACGAGTGTAGTCTTCGGCCGAGTACAAATACTTATCGATCTGTGACAAGCCGGTATCGACATCCCACAGAAGAACCCATCCAAGTGTAGCAACCGTGCTCATCTTGCCTGATAAGAGAAAAACATAACGAACGAATGGATCGATGAAATAAGATAATAAAACCAATAAATACCAAAGATGAAGGCCGATAGTTCTGTAATTGTTTCATAATTCTGAACTACACTAGAGAAATTTAGATAAAGTATTTCAAAATGTAGACCTGATGACTAAAAGCTTACAAACAAAATTATACGTGTATCAAAGACAAAAAAATGCCTTCAGTTAGAAATAGATAATCTCCACAAACGTATTTCATCAACTACTAACATCAACTTTAGCTGATGGTGGCCTGGTGGTAACATCACCAAGTTATCACCCCGAGGGACGTGTATTCGAATCTTACCACCACCGGCGCCTGACTTTCCCTCATTATATGTTGTATAGCAGCCCTTTGACTGGCTGCTTTCCCTTCCTAAAAATTGTATCCTTATATGTCCAATAAAAGGAGGTAAAAAGTGAAGAAACGTCAGCCGCATTTTATCACAGAGTGAATCACAACGCAAGGGTGAATTCCAAAGTTAAAGGACAAAATGCGACGAAAGTGTGGAGAACATTCATGGAAGCGTCGGCTGGTTGATCCCACGTTTAAAAGGTGAGAGATTTAAAGTGAGTGGAGCAATTTCGTATAGTCCAGCGGTTTAGGAAGAGAAGGTAAATAAAAAAGAAACGTATAACACCCAGTGACTGAACAACGAAAATAATGACAAGCTACTCGTGCGTGGGATGAGCGGACGCAAGTTGCAGAAAAAGCAACCTCAAAATGTGCACCCCAGAATTGGCTCCTCTCCTACGTCGCTTATTCTGCTTATCTCTCAATTCCGAGATATTTCCAACCCCATGGAAAATATTAGAAATATTTTCCATACCCCCAAACGCGGCCACCATTCTGACCCAAACAACTACTACCCCATCTCTCTCACACCAGTCATTTCGAAGGTTATGGAATCAGTTATTGATGATCAACTCCGCCACCACCTGGAGCAAAACAATATGCTTAGTAACCGCCAGTACGGTCTCTGATCCCATCGATCTACCGGTGACCTTCTAGCGTTCATTTCGCTTGCATGGCCAGCGACACACGACAACCACGAGGAAACCCATGCAGTGTCATTGGATATATCAAAAGCTTTCGACCGTGTCTGGCACGCAGGTTTGCTGGCTAAATTACCCAAGTTTGGCTTTTTTTGGAGCTTGTGTCCTGGACAGCAAGCTACCTCAAGGACCGCAGCATCTGCGTCAGGGCAGATGGGACCATGTCTCGTTCCGTGCCTGTGAATGCTGGCGTTTCTAAAGTTTTGTACTTTCCCCTCCCCTTTTTCTGATGTTTATTGATGACCTTCTGTATTCAACTTCAAATCATATTCACGCCTTTTCCGATGACGCTACTTTGCACTCTTCTCTGTCCTATTCCTCTTTGAGCATCGCTAACTCCAACATTAGTGACAATCGCTCCTCCTTTAGTTCCTCTCTAAATTCTGATCTGGGTCTTATCTCTGCTTGAGGTTATAGCAACCGTGCTCTGTTTAATGCCAGTAAAACTACTCTTATGTCCATTTCTGTTAAACATACATCTTTCTCACCTTCCTTGAATTTCAACTGGAACACTCTGTTCCACAGAATCATGCAACCGACTGGGTTTTTCCTTATCTTCTTCTCTTTCATGGTCACCTTATATTTATCTACTGGTTACCCGCGCTGCGCGCAAAATCAGCCTCCTTCTTCCACGCCAGACGTTTCTTCACCCCCATTCACCTCCTCTCGCTTTACTACGCTCAGATTCGCCCTACACTTGAATACTGCAGCCATGTGTGGAGTGGAGCTTCGTCCACGTCACTTCCTCTTCTCGATCGGGTTCAACGCAAGGCCATCTATCTCATCAACGACTCGTCTCTATCTCACCGTCGGGTAGTCGCTTCTTCATCCTTGTTCTATCGATACTACTTTGGATTTTGCTCTGATGAACTTTCTGCTTCTGTCCCTCTCAAGCATTTTCTTCCTTGTAGATCCCGCGCACAAGCGGCTAGCCACCCATTTCAAGTGACTATCACCAGGTGTCGCATTTCTAACTTTCAATCATCTCTTTTCCCAAGAACAGCACAACTGTGCCACACTCTCACCCTTTCGGTCTTCCCTCCAACGTACAACATCCTTGTTTTTAAACGCAGAATCAACAAGCAGGTTCTAGCTTGTATGTTCCCCATACCTTTCCACTTACGGTATAACTTCGGATCATGGGGTTTACCACTTTTATGCTATTCATTTTCGTGTAATAAAAAACCGAGGTCGGTTTCGAAAAACAAAATGCTGTCGATAGACAAGGGACAGCGAAACAACTGACCAATGATGGGCAAGTGGTTGCAGGTTGTAAGTTAAGAAACAGTCATTGGTCAGCTAAAAGTAAAAGACGACGACCCATCTCACACGCCACTACAGTATTCAAGTGGGGGACACGCTTGAGTTTTGTACAGTAGGGGGAGAGACATCTGGAGGGGAATAGAAGATCAACCTCATCAACTTTTGCCCGCCCGTCCCGTGCACATGTATCTAGTCATGCTTATAAGATTTCGGTCGTTGGATATCGTACTTTTCTACTTCCTTTTTTCCCCCGAACTGCCGAATTGTGGAACATCCTCCCACCTCCTGCTTTTCGCTCAACTTGCAACTGTTCACTCTTTAAACGCAGAATCAATAAGCTGGATTTTACGCGAATATTCCCCATTCTCCCTTTCAGAGCATGCTTTGACGATGGCGATTTCTCGTTTTCTTGTAATTCACATTTGTAATAATAAAGAGTACGAACCATAAGTTAAGGTTCCTATGATCGCAATTCCTTTTGAGAATGCACTTCATCTAGTGCAAACATTTTTTGCCGAATTCAGAACTGGTCAACGAACGAAAAATCCCTCGTAAGTTTTTTCGTATCTCCCACTAATGGTAGTCCTCTAAGTTTTTTCCTAGCAGTTTATGAGAGAATTGTGCAACAATCATAGCGACTTCCGGAAACATTAAAAACGGTCTCGGAGGATGTTCAAATCCAAGTCTAACAGATTTCCACTGAATGATACCCTACAAGGCACGTTGGGAGAAATACTTAACAAGGAATCGTTTTGCGGTGAAAGGAATCGGCAGATATGTGACATAGGAGAAGCCAAAAATGAAGCTGTGAGATACGGTCGGATGACAAAAGTTGTGTAGCGGCAGTGAGGGTCGCTTAGAAGACATTAAAATAAGGGTGACATAAAACTCGGAAAAGACTGTATCGATATCGTTGTCATTAAAGGTGTGCGATGCTTTTCTCGGACATTAAATATCGCATGTGAACGGAGAACAAGAATCCCCAACGCGGCAACCGGATTAAGAACCCAAATAACATTAGTGGGTGAGAACAATCGCTGTGATTTTCAAGCTCTTCGCAGAGAAGCTAACATTTTTCCAACGCTATCGATTACCCAAGCTTGGGTAGGCCCAGTGAGCTAACGCTACTCGCATGCTAACTTCTTTATGAACTCGTTAGTTGAACTTCTACTTTCAACTGCAATTATGGACAAGAATTACCGTCACCTTTTAGATGTATCATGCATAGCGTTGTGACAAAGCTGAAACGAACTTGAATGATAATTTAAATACACCACTTACAATTGTTTTAGAATTTCGAAACCGCTAACTTCGCAACAACTGGAAGAATGTCACGGGGAGTTTGACTTTGACCTGATACTAAAGAATGACTGATATTTCAAAACCATTGCCATCGGAGAATTGAGTCACATGGAACAACTGAATAAAAAATGCTGCGATTGGACCTGGAGTACTTCGTGGTAATAGATAGTACGTGAATGAAGGGTACTCTGAACATATTTACAAATACACTC